AATTGTGGGCTTCTCTGCAGATTGAGTTTCTGCTGACAAATTATGCTGTGGGTTTACCCACTTGGCATTTACAGTAGATGACTTTCGGCCACTTTCCAGGTTCTGTAAACCACATCATTTATTATTTTCAGTGCAACATATGTCCTTTCCCAGTACTTGCTTGATTTGGGATTTGGCTCTTTCTTGTGCCTGTGATTGCATAGCCAAATTATGTCATCTCAGTGAAATCCAGTCTTACCAGCATTAACTCCATAATTACGTTTCATTTTATTACTAGTTGATTTAAGTCTTTCTCAAGTAAAGTCATGTGGCTTTGATGGTGTTCCATAATCTCTCCATATACTGTTTAAGACTTTTCTGAGAGATTGTTTTCCAGATAAGAGTACAGAAGATCCAATGACACTAAGTTCTCTCCCAATCATCAGTGATGAGAGTGTGTTGCTATTAGCTTCATTTATTGTTGTATGATAACTCATCAGTAACAGTGGAAGATCTTGAACCTATGTTTTCTGATGTTCACTCACATGTATGGCTAACCATCATGTGGTTGTATCTCTCAACCATGTCATTAGAAGATGGATGAAGGGTGTTGTCCTGTTTTGTTTTTATCCCAAAGAGCTGACACATTTCTACAAACATGTCTGATTCAAAATTCTGTGTCTGATCTGAGTGAAGTTCCATAGGGAAGCTAAATTTTGAGATAAATTTGGTGAGATTCTTTGCAAAGGCTTCTGCTTCTTGTTTCAGAAAAGCATATGCTTTTGGCCTTTGGTGAAATAGTCCATCACAGCAATGATGTATCTGTTCCCACTGTTACTCTGTGCAGGGGACCCAGCACATATATAACAACTCTCTCCAATGGTGCTCTAACACAATGTTGATGTAGCTGCCCATGATGTTTTTTCGCAGCAGAGTTCACATACTTAACACTAGTTCTCCACAGAACCCTGCCATCCAATCCAATAGAAGCATGCTCATAGTCACTCTTGTGTCATCTTAACATCCAAGTGCTTAGATGCTGGAAAGTTGTGAAGATGACAGAATGCTTCAGAATATAGAGATTGCATAAGTACCAACTGAAGATATTGTTTTTGTCCATTGGTATTGTCCATTTTATGACATAATAAACAATCTTGTTAGCATAATGAATCCTACTATGCCCAATACATTTTTGTTTTGAGGTTGTATTGAGAGACGGTTTGCCATGAGTGTTTTTTTCTGCACTGTCATTGAATTATATATTTTGTATATTTTGCCTGAGTAGCTTGCAGCTGAATGTTGGACAATACCAGTTCTTTATCGTAATTTGTGGATGACACATCTTGGACTACACTTCGCTGTACTTTAGGTTGGTAGTATTCTCTATCCTGTGCTCCCTGTTCTTACACAGTTTACACTTTTCATTAACACATTGTCTTTGGGATAATGTGTCAGAATTCCCATGATTCTGCGTTGGACAATGCAGTATGTTAAAGTTGTACTCTTGGAATTGCTCTAGCCATCTTGTTATTTGGCTTTATGGATTATGAAAATTCAATAGCCACGTCATTGCTGAGGGAATTATTTGGAGCTTAAACCTTTGTTCATATAGATAATGATGGAAATGACTTGGGGCTTGAACAACACTTAGCAGCTCCTTATGAATTGTACAATCTATTTTCTTTGGCATTCATTGCCTTTCTATAGTAGCCAATCACATGTTCCTTTTATAGTTGTACTTGTGACAAAACTGTTCCAAGTGCAAGAGCACTGAAACCTGTATCTAAAATGAGCGGGTCTTCCAGAGTTGGGTATGCCAGTACAGGAGAAGTGATCAGTTCCTTCGTCAGTTTGTTGAATGCTTGTTCATCTATTGATGCCCAACAAAATATATTTAACTTTTCAAGTAATTTATATAGAGAACAATATATGTCAGAGAAAAATTACAAAATGATGGTAGTAAGAGCATAACCCATGAAATCCTTTTATTTCATGCAGGTTCTTAACTTACTATGCACCCCACGAAATTCGCCTGTTGATGGAATAACTCACACTACTCGGAATTCAATTCAAGTTTTTTCCTCAATCAAAACAAAATCTTCCTTCGGTCTATATAAAACTGGTCAAAGGTTTTCCCATGTGTGATTATGCCATTCAAGTAGATGAGTACGACAGTATAGGGTAGTTCAGATAAAGCACACTATTAGTCATTGGAATGTAACAGGAGCATTAAATTATCCAAATAGTAACATGACAAATAGCCAATATTCATTTCTTGCAATAAATGCTGTTTTCACTACCTGCTTTGCCGACTTGCACTTAAAATCCAGTGTCGAAAACCATTTTGATCCAGATAATCCATTCAAAGTAGTGTCAATGGGTAGGCATCCTTCTTTTAACTTCATTCATTTTTCATTACATTATGCGGAACCTTGTGGACCCAGCCTTCCTTTTCACAAATTCTAGGCAATGCCAAGGGACACGTGATCGGTTCTTTCATTCCCTTTTCCTTGATGGCTTCTATCTCTTTAAAATCCTCAGTCTGTTTTGCAAGCGAAAGTTATCTAGCTGTCTGATGGAGCTGCGTCTTTATGTAACCCCCATCATTGATCAGTTGTAAGATCTCCACAGCTCTGGTCATACAATTCTTGTTAATGAGGTGGTAAACTGTCCTCACATAAGAATTTGACATCAAAATTCTTACATTGTTTCTAAAATTCACTACTTCCGGTGTTTTTTGATGTGGAAACACAACCTATACAGCCTCACATATTGCAACATCTCATTCAGATTTGATGTTTTATGTTGATGGTTCTAATGATTTGATTTTATTCTTCTGATTCACAAGAGTTCTTCCAACCTTTAAGCTATCAGGATATGCGGGAGTGTTTGGTTCTATTATGGTCCAGTCACAAATATAATTTATTTTTTTAACAAGTCCTGGTATGAGTACTTCATTTCTCAGTGGTACAGTGACTACTCTACTTGTTCTCGCATGAAGTTCACTTATTGGTGTAGTAATTTTCATGTAGTACTCAAGGATTTCCTGGCTATATATTGTGAAGCTTTCAAAGCTAGCCTAACCTCGCAGATATGTTTCCACATAAAGTCAGTTTACAATATGCACTCTTCCTCAGTGTTAATTAACAGCACATAATGAGGTAAGGAGAGTTTCATACAGTAAGAGTAATTTCAAACTTTTCTCTTTCTGGTATTTTATGTCCACTTGCTGTTTGCATCACACCTTCTTTTTTCATCTCTGGAAGCAATTTCCCACCTTTCACTACCAAATCAGGATAAATTGTTGTAGCCGTAGAACCAGTGTCAATCGATATATTGTAAGGCTTTCCGTTACTAAACTCGTGGATCTGTGGACTTTTTTCTTTAAAATTCTTATCTCCTTTGTAACTTTGGAGTATTCTCAGCAAAACTTTTCCACATAAATACAACCAATTACTGTTTCCCAATGTCTGGTTAGCCCCTTTGATTTTGTTTGGGTTAAAAACTCATCCATGGGTTACTGTCTTGATAATTATTGATTTATCACAGTCTAGGCTGTAATGGCCAGACTTCCCATAATTAAAACAGTTTCTTCTTTCTAGTATCCTATAGGAGGAGTTCATATTTCCTAAAAGGTATTTGTCAGCAGTTCCTGGCAACACATTAGTTCAAGTTACACTTGAAACACTTATTGTCTTGTGGTTTATCCCAACCATTCTGTGTAACTAGTTTTCCGACTAATCCGTTCAGTTAGCCTATACTATTATCAATGCAAGTTGATGTTTCAATACAGTCTGATCTGATGATCCCATGACCTTAGTTTTTTATCTGCAGACTTAATAGATTCTTGTTCCATCAATAATTGCATAACTTCCTTTAAGGATTTATTGAATGTGATAGTACAGCCCTTAAAGTTGGTTTGTTTTTAAAAGCGAAGGTGGTTAGTGCGCTCGACTCGCAATCTGAGGGTCGCGGGTTCGAATCCGCGTCCAACTGAACATGTTCGACCTTTCAGCCTTGGGGGCGTTGTAAATAGTAGCCCAAAAGTTCACGGTGGGTGGTGATGACTAGCTGCCTTCCCTCTAGTCTTTCAATGCTCAATTAAGGATGGCTAGCGCAGATAGCCATCATGTAGCTTTTCGCGACATTCAAACCAAACCAAGAACAAAGGTACTCAATGGGTTATCTGTGCTGTGCCCACCTTGGGTTTTCTGTGTTATGAGCCTTCAGTCTTACCGCTGAGCCACCAGGGGACAGCCACTAAATTGTGGATTAGATGATGTGAAAGAACAACGTTACAACAGTGCATCACCTGGCTTCCCTTACGATGCTGAACACTATATAGAAAGGATTTAGTAGTTATGTATACGAAAAACGACCTTGTAAAATGATTTTTGGTGTTACAGTGAGCAAAGTAATATTAAACGGCTTTGTATTAGCCATTTTGCATAACCTTTATTAACAGTGCCAGAAATGTTAGCTACGGTTGGTAAACCATAAAACAGTCGAGGCAGATCGAAAACCTAGGTTAAAAACTTGTGTTGAATGCAGTTTTCCTTAGACAAAATTATTTTTAAAAAATTCACGAGTTGTTATAACTCTTACTTAACGTTGCTGAACACGAAATACGTGTTTTGAAAAGAGCCTAGTGGCGTATCGATTTAATCACGCCTCTTGGTCCACTTGTGATACAATATATCATTCTTATTATGTTTGAGGCTGTTTTCCGTTTTTTTTTGTTTTTTTTCATTTATTCGTATTTTGGGTGTTATTGAACCAAGTATTCAGAGTTTTGTGCTTCTATACAGTACTATGGTTGCTATGGTGACGTCCCTAATAATTTCAAGCGCACCAACATAGACTTAATATACGTTTCGTATATTAAGTCTATGCGCTCTACGAATATTCAGGTTGTCAGATGAATGAGTCACGTGCTTAGAATATTGGCTTCGTCACAGAAACGTTCTTGTTCCTATCATTACGTCTCAAATTCTGCGAGAGTGCGCGGTTATATTTTGTTTTATTCTGAAAACGAAAAGTTGTTCACACTGATGACGGACGATAATTTCCAAATAATCTTTTTTAATCCTCGTTTTAACAATAGAAGTTCCACACTTTATGTGGCGAAAACTGCGTGTCATCCTATTTCATTGTGTGATTAATATTCCAGTGAAGTTAAACCACAAATTCTATCGTACAAAAACAATTATTATTACTGTTTCTTTAACAGTTTAAGTGTATAGAGATACGTGTAAAACAGGATGTGTCGTAACTTCTGATTTACAGTTTAGTTTCCAACACGTGCCATTTAAAGCATTAAATGTCATGTTTTGACCGCCATCTACTTTGTGTTGGATGTTTTTTGAAGGTATGTTAGGCTAGTAAATTTTTGATTACGCATGATTATTTCCTCCTGATTTTTTGCAGAGTATTGTGTTAGTGCTTGTTCTCGAGAGTTTCAAATAATATTTGCATAAAACTTTTTTGGTGGTTTTAATTAAATGTTACATTTAATAGATAAATATGTCCGTTTCATTAAACAGTATAGCACATTGTTTTGGTGTGAATGCCTCTTGTAAGGTGAAGAAGCAGAATTATAAATAATCATACTTGCCATGAGACATTAGTATTAAGCCTGTTATGTATTTTTAACATTACATTCCTTATTCAGTCCGCTTTTGTTTTTCAAGAAAAAAAGAGGAACGCGTAATAGTTAAGATATAAATGTTAGACCTTCAGTAATTTTATGGCAAATATGATTAGTTATGAAATGGAAAATTGAGGCCTGACTAGCAAATTGTGTAAAGTAATATTAAAACTAATAAAATTAAAGTAATTTTTCAGTTATTCCTTCTTTATATAATCAAATCGTAAACAACGTGTTTTTAAAATCTTTACAATTACTATTTATTCTTTTACTAAGGCAAACATACGAAGATATTTTTGGAACTTTAAGGCCGAACTTATGGTTTCTATATAGATTGGAATGTCGAGAGCCAGTACGGGCACCGGGGCAAACATCCTTGCCTTTCTCTCTCTCTTTTTTAACATTTTCAAGAATTTATTAAAAAGAAGACCCTAAATTAGGACAGCAACGAGCTTTACGCTTATACTGTGAGGTAAAAACGGCTACTGCTATGATTTTGTCTGGTTTATGAAATTAATTATAGATTTGTTGTTAATTTATTAACGCCTATAAAGTAACAAATACATATTAATTATTACTCAAATTATTATTTGAGTCGTTCTTAATGTATCAAGCGTCTATATGAAAAGAAAAGCCAAACACTATGGTTTTTAACATTAAATGAAGATATAGCCAAAAGATGCTTTGCGGGCTTTACGGCATAACCAGGTTTCATTCGTCCGGGCCCCTAGGCAGTTGCCCCCTTTGCCCCCCCCCTGTCGGCGGGCCTGCCTACTGGAAAGTGGGAAAATGTAAAATAGAACAGTTTGTGGACAGAATGTTGAAAGGGGCAAATGGGGAAAAGAAGCAAAATTAGCCTAAACCGAGGCGGGA